TCCCCTGGACTGAGGAGCCTGCGGAGGTTCCAGCTGTGGACTACTGGTTCCGAGCGAGAGAGTATGGGACTCAGCTCACAACCACCTCCAGCGGGCAGTGAGGAGACACAAGGATTTTGCAGATGCCCGCTGTTCCATCACGCCAGTCTATCGCCCCGGAGATAAGGTCTGGTTGTCCATCAGGGATCTGCATCTCCGCCTGCCCTGCAAGCAGCTGAGTCCCCGTTACATTGGTCCCTTCACCATTCAGAGGCAGATTAATGAGGTCACCTACCTGCTTGAGCTCCCCTCACGGTACCGTATTCATCCCGCCTTTCACGTTTCCCTCCTTAAACCCTTCTCTCCCTCTGCACCAGAACCCACAGAGCCGGACGTACCTCCTACTCCTCCAGAAATTCTCGAGGAACCATCCATCTACCAAGTCAGAGAGGTGTTGGACTCGTGGCGACGGGGTAGCCGGCTGGAGTATCTTGTGGATTGGGAAGGATACGGGCCAGAGGAGAGGTCCTGGGTGGTCCGGGATGATATTCTAGACCCCTCCTTACTCTAGGACTTCCATCGAAACCACCCTGATTGCCCCGCACCCAGAGGCCATGGTCACCGCAGTAGGGCATCAGGAGCCTCCCCTGGAGGAGGGGGTAATGTCAGGGAGTCTCAGTCACCACCGTCACCTCAGTCACCACAGTCATCAGCCCCAGTGCACATCAGATCCCAATCACCCTAATACTGATTGCCCACACCTGTCTCAGCTCATTAAGCTCCCTATATTACTGCACTCTTCCCACTGCCTCATCGTCTGGTCTACAATTTGCATTGCCTAACTAGCCTGACTACTTACCTGTGTTTACTCACCCCTAGATACTCCTTCGCTCTACCGCTCCTGTTATCCACCACTCCCATTCTCCACCGCTCCTTCGCTCCATCGGATCACCTGCAAAATACAATCTTCTATTACCCTCAGCTAAAGCAGGGCTCACACTGTGCAATTTTTTAAAAGTCCTTTAGGATTGTACTTGTCAGACTGTACGAACATGATAATGTCACACTGTGGGATCTCAGTTGACATTAATGTCAGCCTGTACGACAGTCAAGACGTGTTAAAAACAGGTGCGTGCAAGAAAACTTGTCCGGAGTTTTACCTTATCAACCCATACACGTTCAGTGACTGCGGGCTGCAATGTTGGCTATCATTAAAAGTATATGAATGGCGGCAATACCGGTGTATTTAAGAAGAATAGTGTATGCAGCACTACACACCCACATGAAAACAGCAGCACAACCGGTGTTTATCATTGCAAAGGCAACGTTTCATATGAATTCCGTGAGCGGAGGACAAGAGCGCCGGAGTTTATGCGTTTAGAAGAAATCTCTAGCATTAATTCTGATAATGACTTGTCTTGAAAAACGAAGACAGTTTGACGTTCATCGTAGAAGTCACACTGTAGGACTGTGCGCCAAATCTTCTGACACTGCCAGAATTTTGTCGGAGGTAAAATTTGATCGTAACGGCCATTAATCGGCTGTCGGTGAACATGTTCAACTAACGATCAAAGACTACAGATTTTAGCTGGCCTGTTTGCTGACAGTAATAAAACATTCAATTCAGTTGGGAATTTGATACTCTACATCAGGGATCCTCAAATCTGGCCCACAAGATCCACTTTCCTGAAGAGTTTAGCTCTAACCCTAATCAAACACCTGAGCATGCTAATCAATGTCTTCACGATTTTGATCATGGTTGAAGCTAAACTCTGCAGCGCATTGGCCCTCCAGGGCAAGATTTGAGGAACCCTGCTCTACATGGACAATTACTGGGCTTTGTGATGATTCTCACACCTCATAGACTTCCCTTTTTAGATCATTCCCATCACAACAGCCCCATTTAGTCAGGCACTGAACAGATGAATAACATCACCGCATTATAGCGCTGACTTTAGGAACAGAGCTGTTTGGTTAAAATACATGGGTGTCCATACTAAAGATAAATTTTAAAGTTAAAAGAATGCCAATTAACACATATATCAAACTTATTGTTAATTTAATTCATACAGTAAGTGCTCCACATATTCTGTGCTGGCAGAGGTTTTCAACTTTTGCATTTACACAATATTCCTGTCTATGAACATTCCTGTTTCACTTAGAGCTACATTCTTTCATGGCCCACTGGGGAACATGACACTTTCTCCTCAGACCTTCAGAAATGAAAGAATCAAAGCCTCAGGCAACTGCAACTCAGACTCACTGAGCACAACAGTTACTGCACATGCATGTCCCAGCCTGTCAGAAAGCACATACGGCATAACTGCCCAGTGATGCAGCAGCAGTGACCTGCAGGGTAAGCATATATTGTTATGTGTAAATCACAGATGATTTACAACACATTCCTCTGTGTTTTAGGCATGCCATAAAACCTTCATGAAGCCAAAGAACCATAGTGCCCCCAGATGGTAAACATTTAACAATATAGTATATAGCTGTACAGTTAGAGCACTTGAAGTAGTGTGTATGACAGCTACTCTTGATATACTGTAGTACAAAATTATATTGTGTGCTCAAAGTGAAAAAAAAAAAAAGATATTATCAATTTATCCATGTCAAGGCAGAGAACTGTATTGCCTTTTCTCTCTGTATAAGAGTAGCCAAGTAAGGAGGTGGGGTTGGGGTTTGTATTTCACATGATTTCTTTCTTTCTTTCTTTGTTCTTAATGCCATTAAAGTATGGGTGGAAAGAGTCTGGAAACAGAGGAATTGAATGTGATCTTAATCCCTGACTAAGGGGGATTAGTATCAGAGTATGCTGATTGCGCACATTTAAACAGTCTAAACTATATTCAGTTCGGTAAGAGACCATATACTACTTTACATAAATCTTTACATACTTTACATACTGCTTTACATAAATCTCAGTGTGTGACTGTGTGTTTTTCTGTGTTACCTGAAACCGGCTTTTAATTACATATATTTTAATACTGTGTTCAGTTTTGGATTTATGTGTGAATTTTTAACATTCTGAGTAACAATAATAAAGATTTTTACATTGTTACAAAAAGATTCTATTTTAAAAAATGTTTGCTCCTTTAAACTTTTGATTCATCAAAAACTCTAAAAAATAAAGGAAAAAAAGAACAAAATGTATCACACTTTGCACAAAAACATTAAGCAGCAGAACCATTTTCAGCAATGACAATAGTAAGAAATGTTTTTTTAGCACCAAATTAGCATATTAGAATAATTTCTGAAGGTTCATGTAACACTGAAAACTGGAGTAATGGCTGCTGAAAATTCACCTTTGCCATCACAGGAATAATATTCAATTAAAAATATTTACTTATTCATATTTTTTATTCCATTAAAAAAATTATTTACTTATTACTTATTATATTTTCTTAAAATATCTCACAATATTTCAGTTTTCACTGTATTTTTTAAACAAATAAATGCAGTCTTGTTAGTTATTATGGAGACTTCTTTCTGAAACAAAAAATCTTACCAACCCCAAACATTTAAACAATAGTGTAATTTATTGCTATTTTCCAAAACATGAGTACAGCAATAATCTGATGTTATGTATTGCTTCTATTATAAATGTTAAGGTTTTTACCAAACATGAAAACAACACGTAAAAGACTAGGACATTTACTGACCTGGAAAAGAAATTAAATGACATAGACATTTATTAACAAACAAAATAACTATTTTCAAGTATATTTTTATTTTTTCTTTAAGTGAATTCAGATTCATTAATAATCCATTATCTATTTTGATGATGCCACCTGTTTTATCCTCACTTGGCCATGAAGGTGGATACACATGGATGGTAGTAGAGGCCAGATCAAATCAGAGTGGACCAGACAATTTCTTACAGTTCTCTCACCGAAAATGTAATTTGTGTATCAGATGGGTTGTTTCATCACCTTTAATCGTTTTGATCACCATTGTCACCCTCAGATTCAGATGAGGTGGGTTTATGCTTTGATTTAGCTTTCTTGGCATTCTTTTGTTGCCCCGCTGGCTTTGGGCAGGGCTGCAGAGCCTGTGAGATATCTGTCCATGTCCAGCGATCCTCCTTCAATGCGTGCTCTTCCAGGGTGAACTGACCCTGCTTGGTCCGAGTGAGTTCCTTGATGTGAGCACCGGATGACAGAGCTGCGGGGGTACAGGGGTGAAAATCAGATTATTATTTCAGGTAAATTAAATGTTAATGTTTGAGGGTAGTATTACAAGAAATAAATATCTCTAGAGTGTTACCTTTTGCAAGATCATCAACCAAGCTTCTGACATAAAACCCACCTCCACACTCAACATCTGTAAATGCAAAAAGTAGATTTAAATTTAATGAAAAAGATGAACTAAAGCTGTTCAGCATGACATAATGATTTTATGGGAAAAAAATGTTTTCTAACATAGTGCACTCCAAAATGAAAATTTACTCACCCTCCAGCCATCCAAGATGTAGATTAGTTAGTTTTTTCACTGAAACAGATTTGGAGAAATGTAGCATTACATCACTTGCTCACCAAAGAATCCTCTGCAGTGAATGGGTGCCGTCAGAATGAGAGTTTAAACAGCTGATGGAAGCATCACAATAATCCAAAAATGATCGACACTTCAATCCAGACACAACTCCAGTCCATCAATTAATGTCTTATGAAGTGAAAAGCGAAAACAAAACATTTCTAAACAAATATGTCAGTGGACTCTGAGGTGGGAGGACAACAGGGGATGGCCGTTTTCACCAGAGGAAGCATTTTTATGGATTATGAGCACATATTTTGATTAGAAGCAATGGTTTAAAGCTAAAACACCTTAATGATGGGCTTGTTTCTTACAAGCATGCAGCTTTGCACCTCACTAGATGTTAATTGAAGGACTGTGGTCTCTCATTCTGACAGCACCCATTCACTCCAGACGATCAATTGGTGACCAAATGATGCAATGCAAAATTTCTCCAAATCTGTTTGATGAAGAAACAAACTCATCTACGTCTTGGATTACCTGAGGGTGAGTATATTTTCAGGGAATTTTTTTTTATTTTTGGGTGAATTATTTCTTAAACTCTCTAAATACAGTATTAATGAAATTGTACAAGAAAACACATTTACCATTCATTAATACTTATCATATAATGTCTTTCCAAATTTAGCATATAAATGACAAACCTATGGTGAAATATGGCGGGCTGAAGTCCTGTAAAGAGAGACTGTACACTGTGACTGGACGTGCAGGTTTAGCCTCAACCTCTTGACCTTGCTTGAGCAGGACAGACATGCGCTGGCCATCCTTCTTCAGGGCTGAATATCTTTAAATGCAAACATCAGATTTTCTATGACGTCAAGAAACATAATTCATTTAGACGTCTATGAAGAGTGTATTGTGTATCAAGCAAAACAAATTGACTTACAGAGGTGGAACCTGCATAATTTCACCCGTAAACTGCCTCAGCTCCTCCTCAAAAGCCTCTTTTGTGATGTGATCTGGGAAAAACAAGCACTAATCTTTATAGACTGACTTCTGTGAAATATCCATTCCCTCATCACAAGCGCAGCCACAAAATCATAATTCTTCTCACCATAACTCTTCTCTTCAACAACATTTCCTGTGACGTCAAGCGTATCAGTTGCTTTGCCTAACTCTGCAACAGCTCTGTATTTCTAGAATCAAATGTTACAGTAATAAAACATGTGGATGACAAATGTAGAAAGACACACAAACATGTTATGACCCAGAAAATACTTACCTTTGATCCTGCAAGCATCGTGGTGAGCATCTTTGTTCCTTCACCAATTCCAACCACTGCAAAACATTAGGTTAAGTAATATTCTTACATATTTTATATTATTTCATATTCTTGAAGCAAAATCCCTTAACTGACATGTTTTCTTTCATTTTCTTTCATACTTGTTTGCATTTGTACATTTCAATTACAAGATTATATTTAAACGCTGTTTTCTCAAAATAAGCTTTTTTTTTTCTCTCAGTTCTAAATGTTTTTACAGAGGGGTTTGTTTGTATCATTTGTATGATTAGAACATATTATTATTCAGAACATGGTGACATTTGTGTAATAAAAAGTGAAAAAAAGAGTATATATATGTATATATATATATATATATATATATATATATTATGTTACCAACATAAAACAAGAATCTGGCTTTATCCAATTATCCAGTTTCCATTTCTGTTCTAAAACGTTCTGTGCAAATTATTGTATATGCATATTGAGTATTTAATTAGATAATCAGAAAGTGTGTAATAAATAAATACATAAATGTTTAATGTTTTTAAGTACTTTGATTAATCAACAAGGGAAGTAGCCTTATGATGGTTAAAATTGTGTTATGTCATTGCTGGTAAGACTTCACCAGTGCCCATGGTGTAAATTTTTGTTTGTATAATGTTTCACAATAGAAGAAGATACTTGATTACATTACCAAGTACACCAGAAGCATTGCTGTCCAGGGTGCCACCATGGCCAATTTTTAAAGGTTGCTTCTTCCTTTTGCGAGGATTGGGATTTGCAACACCTGCCTCTGTGTAAGGATAAAGTCGTTACACAATAAAAAGTATTCTGATAATTACTTTAGGAGTGATTATTTCATTCCCCAATGCAAAGGACTGACATCTACTGCTAAGAATGAATCTCAAGAGGCCCTTAAAAGAACAGAAATTAATAACGCACCTACCTTTTAAAAGCGCCTTCTTCAGCACGTTTAACACATCCGCGGAGGTGGGACCCTGTTTCTTATAAATGGCAAATATACCATTTAAAGACTGCAATTTGGCTAGCGAACTGTTCTGTACAGCCATGCTTGTTGTTATCGGCGCGAGATGATGATATCATTCGTGTGCAGGTATTGTAGTTCTTTCAAGAGTGACCGTTTGTTTGGGTCAGTTAGTTATGATAAGCACCTTCAAAATGGCCATAAAATCACCCTCAGTTGGAATTGCAATATTTAATATTGCCAGAGCGGATTCATTCCCTGTATTCCACCTAAAACCCTGCTGCATCACTAATCTGTATCAAATCCTGCTGCATCACTCAGATCGCAATTATATGTCACTTACTGGCCACTGAACGCTGCTCCGGTATAAAGTTCGCAAATGCAGGTAGGATCAGTTTCCCATAGCAAATCTTAACTATAACTTAAATGCGAAAGCTGACTCTAGATCAGCTGTGGCGGACAACTTTTATATTACATTGCCTGCGTGCACAGAGAAAACTGGGCCTTTGTCATAATATAATTGTATGCTTTCTTATATAAGCATTTTCGTCCTTCGTATTTTACTAACTCGTATAAAAGCAAATCTACCAGCATAAAAAAATATTATAGAGTGATAGGCTACATTATTCAAATAAAGGCGTCGAAGATTGTACCTTTAAAGTTCACAGTAAAATATTGAACCACATGATGGCGACATTTACCCACTATTACTGAAGAAGTATAGACAACAAAACAATGTGTCGGATGTTTGTTATATTTTCACATATCAATTAGGCCTATATAATAAGGATTATGAATACGTATTATTATTAAAGTAGCCTAGTATTAGAATAAGTAGGCTATTATGCAATTAGACTAATATTGTGTTAGCCTACTAATAGAGGGTTTATTTATTATTATAACAGTATTATTATAATGCTGTTTATTAATGCATTTTTAGAATGGTCCATTTGGTTACACTTTACTTGAAGGGGTGTGCATAAGACTGACATAATGATACATTAACCAAGTGCGATCTTTTATAAATGTACACACTAGACAAATCACAGTGATTTTAATCTTCGAAAAGGAAGGGTCTAAAAAGATAATATAAAATATAAAAACTTAAAAAGCAATATCACAATCTGTTAAAGTCAGAAAAACAGTAGTTACTATTAAAGCAGGAGTGGCTAGCCAAAATATAACTGCTTCAGCTGTAACTGTAGCCACATACCGTAGCAGTCAGTTTATCTTTCAGGACACGCCCATTGTGTAAGCCTCGGGTTCCCGTTATTCAGTCGCGCTTTGTAGTGATCACTGATGCCGAGCGCCAGAGCTGCTCCGCTGCTCATGGACATACAGCTCGCACACTTTCTGCTTTTCTGAAGTCGGGGACCTGTGTTTTGGATTGAAAGGCACATTGGCGACCACCGTCATTTTATTTCAGGAGGAAAATCCACAGTTTTCTTACTGCATCATGTCAACAAGAGGTAACCAGTTTTTATGTAATTTTAAAAAGGCATGTTCTAATTTTCGAGGACAAATGTCTTATTCATACGTAGCCTACTCAAAAGAGGTCAGTCTATCTGACACGAGTTTTATTCTGCTGAGAATGAAGCTACCTTTAACTTGAGACGCGATGAGACTGTCATGTCTCTACACCTGTCCTGAAACAGTTGTTTTTGCATATGTCAAATCTGACAACTACATGTGAGTTAAACTAGTAATGCTACATGCATTATCGTAGTAGCCTACTTAACTATAAAAACGTAGTAGCCTATTAATTTGCTTTTTTCTGCTTCTGATGTGTAGGCTATTAAAATGGAATTTTGATTTTTTTTTTGATGCATTAACACAATTTGTGTAAAAAAAAAAAAAGTTTGGGAGACAGTTTTGGCGAAAGGTGTCCCTTTATCTGGATAATTTTCTTTTTGACTTTGCATAATATCTCACAATTTCTTCAGGGATTCCTGACAAGGTCTGGTTCCAAACTTCCAATTAAAAAAGTGATATTTATTGTAGGCCTATTATATTCTTTACAGACTAAAAAAAATGACCTGAAGACAACTGAAGGGTTAAATAAGTTCAAGAAAGGACACAGAGAAGAAACAAAGCCTATTACTTGACTAGTGTATTATTTGCATTTTGTCCTCTCTTCTTTTCATATTAGTGTCACACAAGATGATGCTATGTATATGCCCACTGAATGTTTCTTCTTATTATTCTTGCTTTGACATTTCAAATGGTTTCTGGACTTCAATTACAGACTCACCGCAACCACTGCAGATGATTTGTGATGCTGAGTCTATTTAAAGAATCGGGCTACTGCCACCATGAGCCACAGTCATAAGCCTCGACCATGCTATAATTACAGCATGTGTTCAAAAACTTGTGTGTCTAAGAAATTATTCTTGAAAAGTGTTGCAGTATTATTGATTTAGCTTTTGTGATTTCTAAGTCTGAGACTTGCTTTTCTATCTCGGCTAGAGAGGCTTGAGTGGATGAATGCCAGTATTACAGAGTTTATGTAGTTTTTTAAAAATAATTATATAGTTGCTCTCAAGAATGGTGCTTTTCTTCAAATGGTGCAGTCTTTTTGAATTAAATCTAAATGACAAAGACTGCAACTTAAAATGAAGTAGATGCAGAATAGTTCTGTATATAAGTCTGGAGGTTTTCGGTCATAAAATTCCTGCATCAGACATTTTGGCTGGAAGTGTGTTTAACTTCGGTCTTGAGTTTGCTTTCAGACCGTTACATTTTGGTGAAGTCCTATTCACAGCACTGTCTACTTCCAAGTGCAAGTCCATGTTTTTCTTGCCATGTCCCTATGACCCCTAGTAGCCCAGAGTAATGGAGTTCACTTTAAACTTTGCACTTAAGATCAGCAAGCCATTTCCCAGTTGTCCAGTCATTTCATTTTAGTTGTTGAGGTCACTGGAGTGCAATTATAACACCAGACATCTGTAAAACTGTGGAACAAGTTTGACAAAGCAAAAACAATTAATCAAAATCTAAGTAGGGATAAATAGAGCAAGCTGTCACAGTGCAACTGCTATTGGGGCATGTTGTCACAAAAAGGTTAATGTGTGTTAAATAAACTATATCTTTTTTCCTGGGAAAATAATAATGGAAATATTTAATTACTTTTTTGTAGCCATGACTTAAAGGCATGTAATTTAAAAAAAAAAAAAAAAAAACCCTGAGAAATATTTACTGAAGTAAAAAATTGTGACAACTACCTCCATTCTCCTCTATTCAAAAGAACAAACAATTAAACACTAACTGGTAGATTTTCTTGACGTGATTCTCAATATCCTCCCAATTGTTCACACATCTATTAATGGGGCATTCCCTCTTTCTCTCTGTATCTCCATTTCTTGGACCCAAGATCATTGTCGGCCCCTGGGGAAGCCCAGTTAAAGCTGTCAGCTGAAATCAGTGTGGGAATCTGAAAAGTAAACCGTCTCTAACAACATCCAGCGAGCAGGAACCTCTCAAGACTTGCTTTTCTTTGGGCTTTAATCAGAGCAGTGATACCACTGTTTTCTTTCCCAACAGCCCTCACATATATTCTCCAGGAAAGACGACTTTGTGACAGCTCTATCACTTTCACCTTCAGAAATTGGCAGTTTTTGAGATGGAAAAACAAACTGATGATGGTTCAGTGTGTTTCTTAAAGCTATAGGTCAGCCAAAATTTCAAATTCTGTCATCATTTACTCACCCTCACTATTCCTTTAATGTGTTAAAACACAAGAAAATAATTCTAAATGACTAAATAACTTCTTGTGAGATATTTCAAGACTGATTAGACTGAGGATTGTAAACGAGGTGTGCTCTACTTATCACTGTCCCAATTCAGGTCATCCAAGCCCCTGTAAGATATGTCTCTTATCATTGCTTTAAGTGGTTGTCAGACTCTGAGACTTGTCTCTTGATGGGGGTGAGCAGGATGGAATCCAGAGCGCTTGGAGTTTTGCTGCAATAGATTCTACTCTGTTTGACATGGCTTTGCTTCAGAGACACGGAAACACAGTCACTTTACTTCAGCAGAATGACACTGTCATTGACACATTCCTGCTGTCCAGCTCAATGCTACGCTTTCTTTGTATCCTGTTTAGTCACTTGGGTTTAGTCAGAGTTGTGTTTGCTGGATAAATAGTTTGATTCATTCCTGCACATAGCTGGACACAATCAACACAGTCAATTAAGCTAAATTACAGGATTCAGCAAATAACTATCTTAGAATATACCGAATTTGTGGTGTAAGGTAATGGAACTGTTTTATGAAGCTCTGATGCAAAAGGTCTATTAAGAGGCTGTTATGATTAAGTAATTTATATTTTTGAAACACATTGTAACATCTATTTTTGCTCTGCCAACAAAAAGCTGAAAATAGTCCAAACAGAATAAAAGCAGGATCAACCGTTAACACTTTCATGAGCAACTCACAGGTATAGTGGCGTTTCGTTCCTGAATGAATCACTATTTTTGAATGAATCATTTGTGTGAGTGATTTAGTAGTCTTACTCCCATATTACATTTATACAGATTGACAGCTGTAACAGATGTGACTCTCAAACCGACCTGTTCAAGTCGCAACTTTATGAACGAGTCACCGATGACAATCCTTTTGTTTTTTCACTAGCTTTGAATATTGAACCTGTAACCACAGTAACACTGACTGAAGTAAATCAAGTAAAAGGTCATATTTCTATGAATGTAAGTGACCAAAAACCATAAAAACATTTTTTTAATATTTATTTTATTGCAATAATTTCACATTCAATCCTTAAATTAATGTAGAAACAACATAAAGACAGTATATTTTTAATATTTGTATAATAGAAGCTTTTTTAATGACTGAAGGCCAGTATCACTGATACCAATACTACTGATGTGTCTAGGAAATTGTTTTCCCCCTAATATTTACCCATTGACTAGCCATTCAACATTACAGTATAATTGAGAATTATAAAAAAAACTATTGAAAACTATTAAATTGATCATTTATTAGACTACTTTAATATACAGAAATTGAATACAATTATCGAACACTAAATTTTGAATTGAATACAGATGAATTCTTAAAGCTATGAAAGTTATTGATTTCTTCTTTTTTTCTTTTGTTCTTTGATTAACAGGCATCGCAGCAGCTTAGTTATTTGGCTGCTATTACTTTAAGAGCTCCCGCTGCTGAACATGATGCGGATCTGACACACATCATATTTTCTCATGTCTGTACATTTTCTGACCTACTTCAGGTCTGAAAGTTTCTATAATGAGCTGACAAGTTGAATCGGG